GGTGGTCTGCTTATCGTGCTCAGCTTGAAATAGAGAAAATACTCGATGTTCTACATTTATAGTAGTACCCGTGAACGATAAATATTTTGTGTTACCCGCAGTGGTAAAACCGTTCATTGTATAATCATGTAATACTGGTGCTCCATTCAACATTTGCTGAGACATTCGAACAGTTTTAAGGGAATCATTTACTTGACTCAGAAGTTACTAAAGAGTGAATAAGGCATGCGGACATTGTAATAATATATTTTCGTGAAAATTAAGGATGACAAAGGAATGCAAATAGCGCTGTTTTTCCAGCTACGAGGTGCTATTAATGCTCTTAGTACAGTTTGACCTGCCTGCTTGATTAAATAAGCTGACAGCTTTACTTCGCGAGGAGTAATTATTTTTGTAATGTGTTATTTAGCCTTTCATGACAAAATTACACTAAATTTCGATCCCTGGGTATGGAACATAACTACTCAGAGACATGGTTTCGGCTACTATAGTTCAGCCTGCGGAAGAGATGATAAACGTTCAAGACATTACGACACAGTCTTGAACAGTACCGTCATGTGTAAACGGAGTCGTGCACTTGCTGAACTAATGATGCTTTCGTTGTTGAGAAATGAGAGTAACGACTGCTCTGGATTCTCTTGGTTTTTCTACTTGAATGAAATAAAAGTGGGGTCGGATGACAGAATGGACTGTAATATAAAGAAGAAGGTGATATTGAAGTTCTGTGTACTAGATGTGAGAAACGTGTGTGATAGGGACAAAACGTATGTGTAGAAAGAATTCAGAGAATACGAATACGTTGTTACATAAGAATATAAAAAAACTTTCACACCAATGAAAATGAAAGTGATATGAAGAAAGGAAAAATGGGAGGAATATCGTTGAAGAGAATGAGGAGGTAAAGAAATATGAAAAGGGAAAGAAAGTAAGAAATAGCATACAATAGAGTAGACTTCAGATTAACCAGGGTTTAACGAAAGTTAAAAAATAATTTTTAAAATGTGTTGTAAAAGTTATAACGTTTAAAAAGAAAGAGATGAATACAACAGTGACATTATTTAACGTACTGACATGAATCAGCTGTTGATCAAACCTGAAGTTTACGATTGTAGAACCTTATTACTATCCGCTGGAATACTTTTTCAAAAATAGTTGGTATGCGCCGTATACTGACTGTATTAAATTTTATATAAAATCATTTCTGCTCTTAGTAAATCTTTAAAAATTTAAGTAGTGTATGTCCATATGCCAAAGTGAAAACCCTTCAAGAGGTACTGAGAAGTGGAGGTAGAAGTTCATGAATTTCTATCCTCTGCACTATATGAAGAAAAATGGTCGACAAAAGTTCAAAGTATCGACTGGATTTGAGGCCTGTTGGACCCAAAGCTGGCCCGGGCGTGGTGACAAATAAAAATTCCTACCCCCACCGCGAATCGAAACCCTGTCGTTCGGGACATCAGCAGTCGTTCTTCTGCCTGACCTAGTCTGATTCCTTTTAGTATTAATTGAATACTAATTCATGCATATGAAATACATATAAAAAGCTCATAGTAGACTTATGATTGCTAGATGTATTTTAAATTAAGACTGAAGTATTCCTATTTTAGTTCCAAGGTAAATTATGCGGGCAGAAATAGTCACAGTCTAAAAGAAAGATTGAAAAGCTAAATGAGATTTACGACTCAAGTATCAGTAGAGAAAATTAGAAACTAGCACAAAATATAAAAATCAGAAACGGCTTAGAAAATTTATATAATTTTAAGAGGTTATTTGTAGCGATAATAAATACCATTTCTAACTAACAGGGAGTCACAGATGGACCCGAATATTACACCGAAAGAGATGCAGGAGTGTAAGTAGGATGCCGAAAGAAACCACTAATGACTTACAGATAAGGAACCTTCAATATGAGCCGCTGCCACAGGATATTCCATAGCGGGTGAACGAGGTAATGCCAAATAAAATGGCAGGCTCTCACGGTGGCGAGTACGAAGATGCCCCTGGCGATAGAGGCAGCAAGCACCTCTGAAGTGTCTATAATCTCCAACCAGACTACATGGCCCAAAGGAGAAAACAGCCTCTTTTTTAGGCAATACGATATCGCGTAACAGAGGAACTTATTTTTACTAAGACGAGGAGCTGCGAAATTGTGCTCCCAATAGGATTTCGCTTCGCAGGATACATGTCTGAAACCAACATTTGTAAGCAGATGATTGCTAATGAAACTCTCTGCAGTACTACATTTCAGCATCTCCTTCCTGCCGTAGGAGCTAGTTAATTCGGCATAGAGCCTCCCATCTAAGTAAATCGTGTCCAACAATTTACACTGCATCATGTTGAACGTACAGCTTCCATTCTGTTTGAATGTTTCTCAGAGATGGGCCCTTTACACTTGGAGGATTAATAATTTGTCATGGTGTTCAAATGATTGAATTCATCACATTTAATAATTCAAATATCAAAACCGTCTTCGCCTTTTGTCTTACATGTCGTGTACCTGACTTACGGGTAAATGCAATTATTTAGAGAGATCAAGAGGTGAACCTGTGGAATGTAGCAATAACAATAGTAGCGCACATGTCTATGGGCACCGTATGTGCGATTATTCTACGGCATCTCAGATTAAAAATAGTTCACTTACTAACTATAGCAAAATATCCAAAGAATGTAACTAATACAATTGCATGTAGGTCTATTTTTCCGCTTGTATTTCTTGTATTTATAATAAATCTACATTATTCGACTCATACACACAGAAAGTGCATTGCGAAGTCTCTTTAAATAAAACAAAATAAAATTAGATTATGTGACAAAGATATATTTCAAAGATAGGCCAAGTAACTAACTTCTGAAACTACACCCATGCACCCTTGCAGCAGAGTAATTGAGACCCATAAGTAATGTCTGCAACAAAATATTCCTGAAATAATAAATTGTTGTGTGAATAAATCTTTTCTTTTTAAACCTAAACGGGAAAGTTGCAAAGATTTGTATTTATCCTCGGTATATATTCGAGTGTTCATACCAAACAAAAATTATAGCGTACGATTTTATAAAACTGCGGTTCTTCAAATGAAACCACTTCTGAAATAACCGCTGAAGCACAGAAAGGCCCATCAGAATTTTAGTGTTACGTGAGGATTAATGTTTCTGATCGAATTAAGCAGCCCACTCATGAAGCCCTCCTGGTGGAAATTCTCAACTTTTTAAGCGCCAGCGATTCAGGTTTATGAACCCATAGTTCCAGAATTGTAATTAGTTAAACGCTCTTGCAACGCAAAATAAATAATAAACCGGAAATTGTTGGTGCATGAGATTTGAAGGTAGTAGCAGGGAAAATATGATACCGTTTTCCATTCTAAAGAACACTTCTGACCGAAACAAAGTGAATTCTTCCTCGTGGCACTTATTGCTAGACATGACAATTGCATCAGTTGGTTAACAACTCCTGACCGACTGGAGCTGGCTAACGATGCATTTTATGTCATCGGTTCTCTTTCTTTCCAGCGTGTGAAGTACCTCTGCACCAAGAAAGTAAAACATAACACTTTTATTTTCTATTTTTATTTATTTATTAATTGGTTTTAAAGTGCTATCCGGGTTACTGGGAGAGCAAAATGCTGTATAAAGAGTATCCTACCACATTAAGTTTACGTTGATATATGCGACGAATTATCCTGTGCCTTTCTTTATGTCAATGTCCGCCCGTTTCTTCTGCAGCCACGACCTGCAGAACTCCTCAGTGTTCAGTTAGCAGTTACTCTTCATTACTGCCAACTTATCTCACCTCCACCCTCAAAAGAGCACACGCCCCTAAACTTCTACGGATCTTACACACGCTCCACCTTCAACCTCCACAACTTCTATTTGATTCGTCTCATGGAAGAGGTCTTTTAATTCCCAACCACTTTAACCCATCTCAGGTCCAAACCAATTTCTTAAAGAAAGTGAATTCTTTCAGCTTCATATAAATCTATAAGGAATAAGTAACAAATCACGTTAAAGTAACCCAAGAACGAGGAATGTGGCTTTTTTTGTTGGTAATATTCAGAAAAATTGATTTGCTCTAATGTCTGTGATTCGTATTGAACACATTACTGTCCGTGATATGATTTCTGTTGGGTTTAGTGCGGATTTAACATATGCGTAATGACAGGTGAACATTCTCTACAGATGAGATCATCAGTTCTTTCTTGCACAGTGTCATTTATTTAAGAGCATAGCGGTTTATATTTTATCTGTTCGTTATAATGTGGTCTGGACCTTGGATGGAGATCGACCCATCTCAGGCGTACATGTCTAAAAGATATTTCTGAGCTCCGTTAACAGTTACAAATTCCAGAGACTTGGCCGTGTCTGGTTTTGAGGTGACTCTGTGTTTATTGTTATTTCCATATTTTAGTAATTCCTTCACGTTTTCTGTCTAACGGAATATCGTCTGAGCTTTTCGATTGAGCCCTTTCATTATTATTTTCCTTTTAGTCTGCTGAGGCGTACGGTGCCATGAATATAATACGCGTACATGGTTGAAATCACATAGACATAAGAAACCTTTCATGTTAGGATCTTTTATTGATTCCCTAAACTCCTTTTTAATGAGAGGTTTTCTGTTTGTAAACTTTAATCCTGTTATTCTTGGGATACTGAGAAAACATGCTATGAAATTTTCTGTTGAGACTCCGAAAAGATCAACGTAGGTTTGTTACTAAAAAAAAGCTCTTTTATCATAAACAACATTTTTCAAGCAAATTACTTTTGTGACTGAGGCACATTGTGTTTCGTAATCGGTTTCTGTTAAGGGATTTGGACGGTAGAGACGTATTGTTCGCTGTAGGGCAATGAGGTTGATTTTCCGATAGTGTAAGCATGGATTGCAAAGTAAGTGCTTCAGAGAAAAGTGGATTCCTAAATTTATTTAAAAAGTGAAAGAATTATTGTATGAATGACTTCAGGATTTTAACAATTAAATATAAATATAAGCCACATATGTAGGTTATTACAATATTCGTTAAAATTTTACTGTTTTAAATTAAGAAGTCAAGAAGGTAGTGATGTGAAGGACATGCAGAACGCAAAGGTAACCAATAGTGCATAAAACGTTTTGTTTTTATAGCCCTGGGGGAAGATAAAACTTGGAAACTCTAGGTTGTTATAAGTGTGTGTTTTTATTCTTCCGTAATTAAATATAGGTGAACTTTTTTAAAATTTGTGGAGATGTAAAATTTCTAATTATTTATAAAATCATTATGACTGCGCTATTAATGTTATGCATATAAGGAACTCGGGTTCGAATGCTGCTCGAGGCATGTATGAATATAACGCTAGCCGATTTCGACGGCCGCGCCGTACAAATTGCCCATTTGAAGGTTCCTGTTTCGAATCCCGCTCGGGGCATTTAGATTTGTCCTGTGTGTCCTGTGCTTTAGTTATTTAGAATCAGTTGAGTCTAGCCAGGCCGGAATATTTGTTTCTTCAATGCAAAAGAAGGAACTTAGTTTTTCTTAACTTTGAGACGATAAGTGGAGTTTGAATCGCCGTGATTTCTGTTTTGCGGGCAAAATGAGCAGATTAGTCGATTTTGTGAGCCCATATTCTCTCATCCTGCAATAAAAAACATTTTTCAGGTGTTACTACGGTGCTCTGAATGACATTAAAATTTTAATCATACTGAAGTAGTTTCAAAATTCAACAAATTCACTTCAGTTGGGAACAATCTGTCATTACTCTAAATCACAAACAGATGCCAATTATTCAGTGTGTAATAAGTGTGATGCAGGTTAACTTCAAACCTATTATTTTTAAAGAGTACAATGAATGCATTTATCGTACTAACACTCATGCATAACCGTAAATGACAATGGTAATGTCTGGTTGTTGGAATTAGTTGTAGTGGGGGTATTTTGATGAAGTGTACGCGGTGCCTCACGCAAAATGTCGCTTTAACACTCCAGAACAATTTTTTGAAGTAATGTGTATGTGTAAACAGAGTGATTGAAAATTATTAACTACAATGTTTGGTCGTCGCTGCAATGTTAAGTGCTCAGAAAAGAATTTCCGCTTTTGGACGTGACAAATTGTGGCACAGCGTATTATTTCAGGCGTTTCTGGGATGAGCCATTTACTTTGAAGAGTGTTGGAAGAAAAGACGGCATGGTTTTTACTCTGTGTACACAGCCATTATCAGATGGAGAAAATAACATATTGAGGACCTTAATAATTTTCGCTGTACATCGAAAATTGTTAGTTTACGGTTATGAAACCTCACAGAGAGAGGCCATTTATGAGACCTATCTACTCTCAGATGGGAGAATGATGTTAAGATTAATATTATAGAAATACGTTAAAAGGACGCAGAGTAGATTCAATCGGTTCATGGCAGTGCCCGGTGGACACAGTAATAAACCTTAGTGTCCCATAAAAGATTGAAACTCTAACCCTGCAGAATGTTTTGCTGTAAAATTGCGAAGAAGAATGGGCACTTGACTTCTCTGAGAACTTTGTGTAATGGAATTTTTGACCTGGTAACAATTTTAAACACAAGATTTTTGAATGGCAAGGTGGAAATTACCTTCGGTTTATGCTGACAACAGACGGCATCAGATTTTGTAAAAATAATAATGTTATGTTTTTACGATTATATTAATAATATAGGGATTTAAATAGATTTAATTTCTCTACCTTTTTTGCATGTAATTTTTTTGCCGGGAACATTACGGTTTCACATTTGATACTGATTAGGTATTTCGATTTATGTCTCAAATTATGAGTTACATTTATGTTCCTAATTTATGAATAATGCAATTATTTCCTTCGTTTTGGCCTGTAACCTGTCGTTGTTGAGATGCTGACTGATCTAGTTACTAAGTAATCCGCCAGTAACCCTGTATTACGTCACACCACTGGTCGAAGCTGCTGAAATATACGTATGTGATCTTTATTGTCATGATAGGCTACCATTAATTAAAACGCGTTTGTCTCTAATTGATATTTGTTTAAGAAAAGTCGTGTGTTTCTGAAACACCCAATGAAGTATTAAAAAAAGGGTCAACCGCAAACCAGTATTCGTTCACTTGACGATCAGAGGGCTGTGATATTATACAAGTATGCGTGACAGATGGATCACTCTCACAACCATGAATGGCATTAAAGAACAGAGTAGGCCTTGACTTCACTGCCGATATGTGGCTGCTCATAAAATTCCACTTCTTCAGTGCCTGATATTGACGACTATCATTTATCTCTCTTTTACTCGACGAAATATAAAACAAATTATCAGTCGCGGTGAAAAAGACAGGCATTCAATCTCTCTCTGAATTGCTTTTTATAAAGCTTGTATCCAATAAGTTGTAGCGGATTTTAACACTTCCCGCAAGCTGAACAAAAATATTTAAATTATACTTTCATAATTTAACGAAATATATTACATAGTCTGTTTACTGTTTTTTCAGCACATTTTTTCGTTTAGTTAAAGCGATGTAACTGAACAGAAGATGGCTGGCTGTCTTCAGGGCTGTTGCGCCGTGTAGTCTTGCAGACGTTTAGCGACGTTTCAGAGGTACGTGCTGTCTCCATCATTAGGCGGTTGAATAATAATGATGGATGCAGCAAGCACCCCTGAAACGTCGCTAAACGTCTGCAAGACTACACGGCGCAACAGCCCTGAAATAGCCATCTTCGGACTCGCCGCTGTCAGAACTTGAAATCTCAGTTAACTGAACGGAGTATATGAGGGAGTTGTGGAGTCGGTAAGTTTGGAAACGGTTGTATGTGGAACATTTTTTGCAGTTTGAAGCGTAATGTAAATGAAACTATTATTTGTGTTAGTTCCCCAAATCGCTGCTCGTCCTCCTGTTCCTGTGGTACTGTCAAAATGTTTCAGCTTGTTTGGTTTGCACGTTTCTTTGTTTGTAGTTTTAGATCAGTCAAATTAGCCCAACAAATATGTCTGCAGTGGAGGTACGATCTGACGATCGCTCGAATCAGCGCTCAGCGGTGTTTCCCTATAAACATCATTGGCTTAAATTCACGTGTTTGCCAGGCGCATTGACGCTACCACAGTACAGACATCTTTCTGCCTGCCTGTCGGAGAAGTCCACATCCCGAGCAGTGCATGTTGCGACTCTAAGCTTCAAGAGCTGCCTTAACACCGAGGCGAGGCCGGGGATCATTAGACCGGGACGCTTTACGTCACTGTTTGCCTCTTTCGTGGCGGAAACGAAATCGTGTCATCTTCGCTTCTGTCTGCGTGCGTGTTTATCGCATTGTTGGCCTAATTTACGACTCGCGTAACTCAACCCTTGCGCTGTGGTGTTTGTTGCCTTTATTTCTGTAACGCGATGATTCCCGCTTTCGTTATATTAGATCGCCTGAAACCTACTGGATGTTCCAGTGGGTTAGGAACTTTTCTGTAATCGTAGTTCTCCGTGTTTGGATGACTGCCGCTTGTTGCGTCCAAGATTATTGACATATTTGAAACTCCGTCTTTCGGGGATCAACCGCGTGGAAAGTTTAAGATTATCCGTTTCGGCAAGCATTACAGTTGCTATCTTCAGGGTGTATGTAGTGGTTAGGCGTTTGTGACAGTATTATATAGGACAGACAGTAGGTGGAGTGTTTATTTTTAACCTCCCACATTCCTATAGGTCCGTAACCCGCAGTTATTTTTACGCAGCTGTCAGATGGGGCCCGCGGGCCGGAGGGTGCAACGATTAGAATTAAGTACTTCGGAACCTGTTCAGTAGTTGTCAGTTATAGCTACGTGCTGAATCACTGTCATTAGCAGATTATCAAAATCTGTAAACATTGCGTTATTAATCGATCTCGGATTATTAAAAGGGCTTATTAGTAATAATGTACGAACTACGCTGCGAGCCGGACTGCATCCTGTTCGCGATTTACAGTTGCCCACTGTGTCGCAGATTTACGTGTTATCTAAGCAACGTAAGCACGATCACATTCGAAGGGGAGTTTAAATCAGTGCTGTGGCATGTTTATGGGAATTCTGTTAGGTTGTTATCGACACAAATCGAGACAAATTTAAATTGACAAATGATAAAATTATATTTCACATCGTCCAGTATTATCCATTCGCATGATCATAAATTATTTCATTAGTTGGCACTGAATTTGGAAGTAACCTGCCAGTAAGTCAGAGGGCGTTCGGCCAGAATTTTAGACTCCAGGATAATAGGCCTACAAGATTTAAAACTTTTACAGACGCTTCTGAATGAAGCTTTCTTTGGCGATTAGCCGTGAGAGCACGGATTTCGTTTCCAACGTTTTCGAGACAGATATTAGCTTCATAATGAGAAATTGATGTGATTTCAGTTCGTGAAGATGGGAGAAGAGAGACTCACCAGAATGCTGGAAACTAACACACACACACACACACACACGCACGCACGCACTCCTGTTCTTCCGGGAAGATTTGAGTCAACTAACAGCAATCAATAATGAAACTTGGAAAGAGATACTATGTTACTGGGCCTTATGCAATCTGTTACACTGAACGTCGGTAAACTAATGAACAAATTTGAGCTGTTCAGCCTGTTAAATATAATATATAAAAGCAAGATGCATATTTTTGGATGGGTTTGTTTGCACTCCCAGAGCCCTAAAATTTCTCAGTAATGTCGCTAGATAGTAAAATTTTAAGATGGCTGTCTTCTTGGTTGTTGCGCCGTGTAGTCTGGTAGAAGTTTCCAACGTTTTAGAGGTCCTTGCTGCCTCCATCGTCAGGGCGATGATGGTGGCAGGAAGAACCTCTGAAACGTCGGTAAACTTCTACCAAACTACACGGCGCAACAACCAAGAAGACAGCCATCTTCAGACTCACCGCCGTGGAAACCACAAATCTTCCATAGTAAAATATTAATTTTCCAATTGCTGCTAGTATCAGGTCGGTTTTATAATTGCTTGTGATATGGATGAAAGAAACCTTGGTGTAGGGGAGGGAGGGGAATACGAGAGAAGGGATGGAAGGAGACAGGGATACAAAATGATAAAGAAAGAGAATGAAGAAAATAAGGTATGATTACATGAAGGAAACCATTTTTCGTGTAATTTGAACGGATATTTTCCACTTGTTTATACATTATTGTGAAATCTGTAAGCCAAATAAAAAGTTCATTGGGTCTACAGATGTTAAAATGCGCGGATGGTTTTATTTTCTAACTTGATAGGCTATTTCACTGTGCAACCAATACGTACTCCCATCTCTTCGTCTTAGGACGAAATATCACTAGCCACAGAATACATATAAAAGTTGCCAAGCAACGACATCACGAATTGGTTTCCCATTCTTCCGCCATTGCACAGCAGTATACGAAGCTTACAATACCATCTCATATGCACGACACGCAGTGATGTACGTTCGAGAAGAGAGAGTGCTTAAAGACCCATGTCTCTTCAATGCATCAAGTCATGACCTTTCTGCGTCTCTCTTTCCCCCCCCCCCCCCCCCCCCCCCCCCCCCATCCAGCTTCACGTTCCATCTTCTACACACAGTTTGAGGACGGTCTTTTTCTGAAAGGCAAGTGCTCCTGGAAAGCATTCCCTTTCATAGCACCAATAAAGCTGCCACTCTTGTCCTTTCTATCGTG